ATGGCATCTTCAGAAACACTGAGTTTCATGCGGGGCAGGGCATCCTGCCATGCAAGGTAGGCAAGCTGTTCATCAGCTGAAGTACAGTTCCTCATTATGAGGACTTTATCTTGGTGGCTCTGTGAATGCAATTATGCACACGCTATCGGCTCAGACCCGGGATTTTGAGCTCTGCTTCACTAAGATAGGTTGTTCTAAACTCACAGGCAGGTTCCACTATCCCGTTGGTTTTCAAAACCAGTTTCTTCTAGGAAAGCCCAGGAGAATTCCACTTACCCCTCTAGGGGGAAGGGCTGGTTTTTTTCCGCTCGCTGCCAAAGTCTTCCGAGGGTCCGGGCAGAGCCGAAAAAGTACTATGCAGTTCATCCACGGTTTTATCTCTTGGTTCTTTTTCTTGTACAACGGAGGAACTTTCGGCATTAAAGTTTTTCATCTCGGTTTTACTGTCTTCAGACTGGCTCTGTTTCAGCGCTTTAAAAAGCACTCTTCAGGTGGCTGCCAGGCTACACACGCTGATATCTCTGTTAATGAATTCTGATTATAAATGGTCTTCTATCGACAGCTAAAGTTCGAGATCAAAGGCATTGTTCATAGTTATATCAAAACCTTGCTCTTTCACTCACTGAAATAAAGCACGCATGGCATCTTCAGAAACACTGAGTTTCATGCGGGGCAGGGCATCCTGCCATGCAAGGTAGGCAAGCTGTTCATCAGCTGAAGTACAGTTCCTCATTATGAGGACTTTATCTTGGTGGCTCTGTGAATGCAATTATGCACACGCTATCGGCTCAGACCCGGGATTTTGAGCTCTGCTTCACTAAGATAGGTTGTTCTAAACTCACTCACAGGCAGGTTCCACTATCCCGTTGGTTTTCAAAACCAGTTTCTTCTAGGAAAGCCCAGGAGAATTCCACTTACCCCTCTAGGGGGAAGGGCTGGTTTTTTTCCGCTCGCTGCTTACTCTCAGGGGATTAGCAGAAGTTATGTTGGTTGCTTTCTGACCTCGAAGGGTCGGCTGCACATCACGTCGGGTTACCGGACTTCGGGGGTCGGTTTAACATCATGTCAGGGTCACCAGATGTCGTTCTGATTGGGAACGGCGATAAAGAACAACACTGGACTCTCAAGGGAGTCTCAACAGGAGAATTCTCAGTTTATTGCTTCAAGCTTGTCTTATAGACAGATATGTGGAAAGTACAGAAAAGAAACTCTTATTGGTTAGCAAAGTGCTACATCACCATCATTGGTCAGGGGCACTCTACCCCCCTGACCCTCTCTTGCAAGGTAAACAAGAGGACAGATAAACAACACCTGGCAGGTGTTTTCTGTCTCTGAGGATTGTTTTGAAATCCTCCTTTGAATTCCCAGGCTAGCTTCTCAGGCAGGACTGAGAGGCCATGGGCCTGCAGTCTCTGCAGCTCTCTGCAGCCTGTTCCAAAGCTAGCATCCATAGTGAAGGGAGCCAGGGACAGCAGCTCCCCTAACAGGCGAAAAACCGGGATATTTATAGGGAAGGAGAGGGGAGGGGGAAACTGGGATACATGTATCGGGGTGGATTGATAGGGAGGGAAACCAATGGGGTGTAACAAATTAACATGTTCAACTCTAGGGCCTCTGGGAATGACACTTCTTCTCTTCACGACATAAAAGTGTCTTGCCTAGGGAGAAGCTCTCCAGGGGAGAACCAGGATTTCTGAACTGGCTGGTTCCCCAGCCTCCACAACTCCCCCTTTTTTATTTAATAAAAAGGCATCTCCCAGCAGACCTTGTCAATAACTTCTTACAAACAGTAAATAATTATAATTAAAATAATCCAAAAAATGTTTTTTTTTAGAATGGAAGCAACCCATCCCTTGAGTCCCCAGCTGCCCAAAAAGTCCTCAAACCATTGGGGCTCCTTTTCAGCCTTGAGTTCCTGAACCGCATGTTGGAGTTTCTGGATGCGAGCGTGGATTGGGAGGTCAGTGTGTGACCTCACATGCATGATATAGTATGGTTGCTTTCTGTGGGAGATGAAATATATTAATTCAGAAAGCAATTGGTATAAATTTGGGTTAGAGACCTCTTTCAGAAATGCATGTTCTGCTCTCAGAGCTGTTCCAGCCACATAAGCCGAATCGGTCACCAGATTGAAAGGTTCTTGGAATTTCTCAAAAGCTCTGACGACGGCTGCTAATTCAGCAATCTATGGTGATCCCTCGACCACTTGGACATCAGACTCCCACTTCTGTGTCCTGGGGTCCTTCCAAGTCATTCCTGACTTGTGGGATTTCCCTGAGCCTTGAGTGTAATAATCTGTAATAATTTGGGGACCAAATGAAACATGGTTTTAAACAATTTGTGGCCAGGTGGGTGTATAGAAATTTGGCCTGAATAGCTATCGAGAGCGAACTGAAGGCTCTCGGTTTGGAGTAAAGGCTCCAAATCTCCAGTTGTCAATGGAAGGAAAATGCACGTGAACTCACACCCCACAAGAGTGCAGAGACGAGCTCCTGCTTTTTCAATGAGTTCAGCCATGATTTCCTGTGGAGTCGTGATAGTTTTGGTGGGCTGATTGTGTGTGAAGATCCACTCGATGATAAGGAGAGGATCCTTCAGTGCCGTGTCCCATTGCAAAACGAGCGCGTGTAAGCGTGGGGCCTTACCCAGGATAACCAGCTGGAAGGGCAGGCTAGTGGCTCTAGACTCGTGGTGCTAGAGCAAGTGATAGACTCACGGCTTCAGACTGGGTTCTAGAGAGGTTCTAGACTGGGCTCTAGACTCGGTTCTAGACTCGGTTCTAGACTGGGTTCTAGAGCGGTTCTAGACTCGGTTCTAGACTCGGTTCTAGAGCGGTTCTAGACTCGGTTCTAGAGTGGTTCTAGACTCGGTTCTAGATCGGGTTCTAGACTAGGCTCTAGAGTGGTTCTAGTTCGGGTTCTAACCTCGGTCATAGAATCAGTTCTGGACTTGGCCCTAGACTCAGGGGTTCTGGACTCGGGGGTTCTAGACACTGCTTTGGGAAGTGGGATCAACCTGGAAAAGGGTCCTGGAAGTGAGGAGGGACCTCACCAGGAGCTGTGCCAGGGGAATTTGGGATGGAAATCAGGGAAAGGTTCTTCCCCCTCCTGAGGGAACGGGGACATTCCCAAGCTGCCCGAGCTCCAGGAGCTTTTGGAAAGCATGACAGGCTGGGATTGTTGGGGATTGTTAAACAAAAGGTGGAGTCAACAAAAAGCCTCAAACAGGCCCAGAATTTAACCCAAGGTGCCAAGGTGAGCGACCCAAGCGTGTTCTGGGAAAGGAGGGAATGTCCCAGCCCTTCTTCTCTTTTCCTCTCACATCATCACTTTGTTTTGCTGCCCTCAGCTGTGGTTCAGTGAGTGAATCCTAAAGGATGGGAGTGGGTATTTACTGCTATTTATGTATCTATATTCTGATAACTGGGTATTTACTGATATTTACTGATTTACCCCCAGTGGGGAGGAGACCTCACCAGAGAGGGACTCAGCCCCAGGCAGGTGAAATCATCCCTTGAAATCACCTCCCTCATCCAGAGGGAAACCGAACTCCTTTAAATGCACATCTCATTTTCAGATGGATAAAACCAGGCAGGATCAACCTCACCCCTCAAGTAGGGGTTGACAGTTCAGGAGAAATCCTCATTATCTTGAGCTGGGAATTTTGATTTGTGTCTGGGACATCAGCCAGGAAGGGAAACCCCTCGGAATATTCATGCTGGAACGAGCTTTTCTTGGAGATTTCCCCACTCAGGAGCTGCAGTCACTGTCAGGGAAGAGCAGCCCGTGGGAGGACGGAGCTCAGCTCCCAGCTCGTGTGACAGAGGAGGTGGCAAAATGCTGATTTTCACTCAGCTGCTAAAGGTAGATTGAAATTGGAAAAGATTTTTCTGTCTGGAGGCAAACCCAAGCTTCTTCTTTTCTTTTTTTTTTTTAATTCTACACAGAGAATTCCTTCCCAAAATCCCACCCATCCCTGCCCTCTTGGAAGTCACTCCTCATGTGTTTGAGTTCATAATTCAATTTCCAGTCAATTTCCAGAGATTATAAAAATATATGTAAAAATAATATGAGATTAAGCAACTTGAGACAAGCAGGGTTCTGTACAGGTTGATAGAAACCCAAGGAAAGGAATTTTTTTCAGGGCTCTTTCCTAAAGCTGATGGAAACTGGGAAAGAATCCTCCAGAACAGGAGTTATTTTAGTAAAAACACTTGGAATTTTGCAGTGTCAGAATTTCCAGGGAGGCCTTTCTTCAAGGGAATGACATCCAAACAAAAAATTTTCCTCATATTTTCAACATGAAGCCAAATCCTAAATAAAATGTCCCAACAGAAGGAAGGGTTGGCTGAAGGATTAGTCTCATTTTAATTGAATATCCACAGATTTTATGGAATAATACAAAGCAAAACTCAGGATACAGATGAACAGTCCGCTAGCACAAACCACCTAATTACAACCACTGCAGAAAAAAAATGACATTTCACACGTTTGTACAGGTGGGGTTGGGCTGGAAAGGAACAAGAAAAAAAAAAAGACCCCTGGGATTGTGGTTTATTGTGGTGGGGAGTTCTGGACTCCACCAAAACCTGCTGCATTTCTGGCTGCCAGGACGGAAGGAAAGAAGGAGATAGAAAAGAGAAAAATGTGCTTTTTGTGTTTGGAGCCAGTTTTTTGCTCCTTTCTCCTGCTCCAGGCCAATCCCAGCTCATCACCACCAGCCTTTCCTCGACTCCTGGGTTTTTTGAAATCCTCTAAAAAAGAGGATTGGTTGCCTTTAAAACCTTTCCTGCACGTTTTTTTTGGGGGGGAAAAAGAGATTGAAAAATTACCATGAGGGAAGCTCTGAATATCCACTCACATTTTCACAGCACTGGACAGAAAAAAATGAGATGAATTATTCCAGTGGAACCTCCGGCAGCATCCCAGGCTTGACTCCTCGTGAACCACAATAAAAATGACTGGACTGTCCCAAATCTGGGAGATTCTCTGTGAAAAACCTGAAAAGTTGGAGCTGTCTGGAGCTGAGGAGGGCCTGGGATAAATCCTCAAAGAGAGAGGAAGGGAATTCCTGTTCTGGAATCAACTGTACAGGAAGAGATTGGATTTTTCAGGCTGATGTGGAGTGAATTGAGGCCCGGCCATTAAACACACAACGAGTAAAAACACCAGGATTTCGGTGAATGTGGGAATAAAAACCTTTTCTGCAGCTAAAATGTGACTTCCTGTGGATTCACCAGGAAGAAAAATCTCAGGAAAAGTCAAATCAGACCAGAAACTGCCGAATACAACCCAGGGAACTGACGAATGAAAATCTTGATCCTGCAGGGATGTGCGGCGGGAACGGGGCCTGCTCACGTCTGGGACACCGAGCAGTCCAGCGGTATTGCTAAAGGGATGAAGTTTTATTTCATTTTATTCTTTAAACATATTTATATATTTATAGACTGGTCAAAGTTCCACTGGAAATGCACTTTTACCAGCAGCAGTGCAGATTTCTCCCCATCCAGCTGAGATTTGTCGCTCCACCTTTGGGACAGGGATGGTTTTTTTATTTCTGTTTCTGTCCAAGTAGCTTTTTGTTTTGCAATCAACGCCTAAAATCACTGGTTGAAAAAAACTTAATGATAATTAATTTTTTCTTTTATTTTGCTGCTATAAAATGCGCTTTTGGCATTTCTGATTTCTCCTTGGTGGGGCTGCAGGTTCTTCTCTGTGTTGAAAAGACATAAAAACATTTTCCATGTATCCATCCATCCATCCATCCAGGAACATAAAACTTCCACGCTCATAAAACTCTGTGAATAATTAAAATCCAGTGCACACCACTTGGAGTGCTCCATCACAAAGTGCACTTTTTGAAACAAACAAAAAAAAAATCAATTCCAAGAGGTTAAAAATTGACTTTTGTATGGAAACCACTGCCTGCCTCTGTCTCGTGAAGGGAAATTGGGATCTGTCCTTTTTCCAGCTGAAATTCCCTTGCTCTGAAGGAATTACTTGGAAAAATGTGAATTTTCGTTGTCAGATCTGCTTAATCTGTATATCTTTTATCTGAAAGTGCAGACAAAGTGTTTTAGGGGAGGAATTAACCAAAAAGCACATTCTGGTGTGGAGACTGCTGAGGATGCAGAGCCCCCACGTGAAAGGAGATTTGGATTCCTTATCTCCCACATCCATGTTTTCCATGGATACAGCAGTATTTTTGAACGTTTTTTGATGCACAAAAGCTTTCTTGAGTTGGATTTTGAACCCAGCATTCAACGTTTTATCCACTTTATTTGTTGTATAATTGCAAACTTCCCTTGCAGTGCCCAGCGTGGGCCACGCTCTCAGTGGAAAGCTGATGATTCTTCTCTAAATCCATAAACTTGGAATATTTTGTCAGTATTTGCATTACAATGAACTTTTTTAGTGCTTTTTTTTCAGATGGAATGTGGAATTTTTTTTTCCATCTTCAGCCTCTGGGTTGGTGCTCTGCTTTCCATGCCAAGGTGTGGGCAGGAGATCCATCCACGGCTGAGGAGAACATCTCAAATGAGAATTAAGGTTTAAAGGAACTTTTGGTGCTTCCTTGGAGCACCCAGGGAAAGAAGGATCTCATCCAGAGTGATTTTGTTCACTGAAAGGAAGAGAAAAGCAGCTTTGTGTGTCCAGAGGAGCCACCCCTGCCTTCAGGAAAAATCCTGCTGTGCCAGAATTCTCCTTGAAGTGATGAGATGGGCAGGGAATTCTTCATCTGCGGGTGTTTGAGAGGGGCTTTACCCGACCATGGAATCAGGGAATCCTGGAATGATCTGGAACTTCAATCCCACCCAGTCCCACCCTGGGCAGGGACCCCTTCCACCATCCCTTGGGCACTGCCAGGGATCCAGCCCGAGCCATGCAAGCTGGCTCTGGAATCAGGAGTTTCCAAAGGATTTTGGCCAGACCGTTGTTCCTTAATTTCTTTCCCCCTCTCCTTCGCTCACAGAATCCTCACGAGTCCAAAATCCGAATTCCGAGAGCCGATGTCGCACCTGCACTTCCCGGCTCCAGAAGCTGGCCCTGTGTCCTGTGCTCTCCATGGGCATTTCCCAGGCAGGAATGCCGATGGATGAGGCTCTCCTGAGGGAAACTTCCAAGGTTTCAGCAGCTCGTAGGAGGCACCAGCAGCGAGTGATTGTCCAGTGGCGCGACGTCCAGACACGGAAAACTTCCATAAGGCTCCTTCTAAAGCCAGACCCTTTGGCGTGTGTGCGTCCAGGAGAGGGTTCTGTGGAATTTTCCATTCCAAATGATCCATGTGGGATCCCTCCAGAGCCTCACGCACCGGGATGGGACAAACCAGGAAAAAAAACCATGAAAAAGCCATGGGATTTCCTCACGGGAATGAGTTACGGAGGAAGCGGCGATGATGGAAGCTGGCAGTGCTGCCGAGGCCGTGGGCACTCGGGATCTTCAGGAATTCTGGCTGTGAAAATGAGGGAAAAGCTCTTTCCATTGCCCGTGGTCGTTATTCCCGGGGGTGGCAGCTTTTGGGATGTCCTGGAAAACGCAAAAGGGCTCCGCGCTGGCCAGCAGCGAGTGCAGGGAAAGGGTTTATAATTTAAACCAAAAATAAATTCTCTTTCTGGGCTGGGGATTCATGGACTGGAGGATGCTCTTGACTTACTACAAGGATACACAGCGAGTATTTTCACTGTGCCAGTGCTCTCCACAGACCATTCCTGAAACACGCCAGAACCTGTCCTGAAAAGTGCTGTTTTTGCTTCGTTATCTGGGGGGGTTCATTTGGTTTTTGTTCTTTTTTTTTTTCCTAAAGGATAGTGATTCCCAAAAGGTTAAAGGACTTTGCATCTTGGAGGCAGAGGAGGCAGGCTCCAGGATTTACAGGGCTTGGAAGAAGGTGGTGGCAAGGTCTTGTCCCCAAAGGTCGTTGAGGTGGGTGACTGCCAGGCTGCTCCTTCTCCTGCTCCATTCCTCGGTGCTGCTTCCACTCAGGACATGCTGGGCAGAAAAAGAGAGACAGGAGGGGTTTCCAGGCAGCAAACTGAGGTAGGAAATGCTATTATTGCCACCACATCAACAAAAAAAATGAGTGAATTTGGGTGAAATTGTTCACAAAAGTGTGTTGGGGACACAGATGGTGCCAGTCATGGTTTCATGGGCGGAGGGGACAAAGCCCTGGGTGACACCAGGCTGGGGGATCCTGGGCCTAAGCCAGGCTTGGCTTTCCTGGTCATGGATCACAAATGCCAGGGAATGTGTCCCAGACACACAAACAGCTCAAACCTGGTTTCCTGATCCTCTGCTGGGGGCACGGGCCTGCTGCAAAGAGAGGACAAAATTAAGGGAATCTGCAGCACAAACCAATCCCCCCTCTCTGCCCTGAGCTCCTGGCTAGTTCTTGGAATAAATTCAGCCTCATCCAGTGGATGTTTCCCTGTTCCCCCTCAGGAATTGGGATGAGAGGCTGTTTCACTCTGATCAGGGCCAAAACCAGTTATCCTGGCAAAGGGTCTTGTCTTCCAAACCCCTCCAGAACTTCCCTTCCCTACAGTTCCAGCCTTTATCAGCTCCTGAACACTCTGGGAATGCCCTGTTGGGTCCCAGGGGTGCTACCAAGCCGTGGGGCTGTTCTCATCCCCAAAGATTGCTGGAGGGAAGGATAAATCAGAGTCCTTACCTTTCCCTCTCAGCCATGTCTTGCTTCTCCTCTGCCCTGTAAAGACAAATCCCATCGGGAATCCGTCCCCCCGTGGGAAGGAGGGAGACTCCAAAGCCTTTCTGGGGTGATGGATGGGGAACAGCCACTGTTCATCCCATCCCTCCCCAAATTCATCTTACCTTTCTTTTCTGGCCTTGATCCTCTCTTCTTCATACCTGCAACAAAGACAAAATCTCCTTTAAACGCTGCTGTTCACTTTTGGTCACGTTCAGTGCTGGCTCTGAGGGTGCCAGGAGCTCCAAGCTGCCGCAGTCTGGCTGGCACCGGCTTTGCCCTGGGCTCTGCCTTCCCAATCCATGGATTTTGGCCCAGCCCCAGCTCTGTGCTGCCCCTCCCCAGAGCCCCAGGGTCCCTGTGGCACTCACTGGAGGACACAGTCCGGGATCTGTACGTGCTCCATGGGGATGAGCTGCTCCAGTTCCTCCAGGCTGTGGACATACTGGATCTTATTGATAAACTTCACACTGGCAAAGAGAGAGAGAGAGGAGCAGTGCCACCCCAGTGGCTCCTAAAAACACCTCTGGATGTGTCACTGGAAGTGTCTGAGAGATGCAGGACGAGTGACAGCTTCCCCTTGCTCACCCCTGGCTAAGGTCTGACAAAATCTGGTTTATGAGATGAAACCCCAGGGGCCAACTGGGGCTGTGCCAGGGATTTGGGATGGAAATCGGGTGCTGGGCAGTGCCCAGGCTCCCCAGGGAATGGGCACATTCCCAACCCTGCCAGAGCTCCAGGAGCCCTTGGACTCTGGGGCAGGGAGGGATTGTTGGGGTGTCAGTGCAGGGCTGGACGATCCCTGTGGATCCCTCCAAACTGAGGATATCCTGTGACCCTGTGATTCCAAACCCCAGTGAGTTGGGGACGTTGTGCTCACCTGATGAAGGGTCTGGAGATGGCCAGCACGGTCCGGATGAACCACGACGGGTGCACGATGATCAGGGCCTTGAGGTTCTTCCGCAGCCTGGGGACAGGGCAAGGGACAGAGCGTCACGTTCCAAGGACCTTCCCTAAACTCCCCTGGGCTGTGCTGGGTTCTAACAGGAGCTGTGATGCTGACCAGCCTCAGGTAAAACCCCTTGGGAAGCTCATCCCAGCTCAGCAGGATATGGGAGCGCTATATATATCATTATATCCAAAATAAATTTAAAAAATAAAATACAAAGTATAAAATATAAATAAAAATAAACCAAAATACTCCAAGGCCAGGCTGGACAGGGCTTGGAGCAAGCTGGGATAGTGGAAGGTGTCCCTGCCCACGGCAGGGGAGTGGAACAAGAAGATTTTTGAGGTCCATTCTGGTTGGTGTAAGGAAAGCGGGACTGGCTCAGACTCATTCCTGTTGAAGAACAGCATCTGATTGTCCTTTGAATTCTAGGATGGGCAGAGGCCTGGGGCTGATGAGGAGGCCCCAGCAGCGGGATTCTCACCTTCTGTCAATCATCTGGTAGCATTTCTTCAGCCAGCCCAGGCCTGGCATCCTCCTGCGGGGCGTGGCCCCGTTCAGGTACACGATCATGTAGTCCTCGGCCACCAGCAGCTCCAGGCTGCTGATCACGTACCTGGCAGGGGGTGACCAAAAGGGACCCAAGTGAGACTCAGAGAACATCTCTTAGATCTGCCCCGCCCTGTGTCCCCCTGGAACAGCTCCAGAGCCTTTCTTTGCAGGTCTTGGGAGAGGTTTGGTCTCCCGGGGTGTCCCTCAGGGATCAGCAGTTTGTGCCCTGCTGCACACCCCAGCTCCTCTCCGTGCCCAGCAGCAGCATCTCCCCGCTGGGCAGCGATCCCAGCACGCTCCAGCCTGGGTGCCAGTCCATCCCAGAAATAATTAACTGGAATGTTTGAATGGTTGGGCTTGTTGGACCCGGAGCTGGGGCCGCTGTCCCACCCGTGCCGTTCGCTCCAGCCTGCAGCTGCCCCCTGGCAGCGCTGGGCTTGGATCCAGACCCATCCCAGCTGAGATTCCGGATGCCACGGACACAGGGAAGCTGTTGTGCTGCTTGCCTCACCCTCCTGTCCCTCCCAGAGCTCCGCAGGCACTCACAGGAAGAGGTTTTCCATGATGTAGTGATAATCTGCCAGGTTGCTGTCCGGGAGGTAGCAGGCGGCAAAGACGATGATGGCGTTGAGACCTTCCCCGTAGTATCCTGGCAAAGAAACACAGGTGACACTTTCCAGGGAAAGCTGAGGGAGAAACGGCGCTGAAATTTGCTCCTGAGGTGGTTTTTGTGTCCCTGCTCAGCGCCAGGTGAGCGTTTCTCTCTTCAGACCCCTTTAATGGTGAGATCTCCTGCTGGTTTTGGCTGTAATGTGGATTTGGGGTTCAGAGAAGGAGTTTGGGGGTTTTAAAGCCGGGTGGTTCCTTGGCTTTGCTTTGATTTGGGAAATAGATCTGACTGCACACTTGTGGACCCTGGAGCGTGTCAGGGACTGCTCTTCTCCCTCCAGATATCAATTCTACAATCACTAAATATTTTTAGCACCATCTCAGCACTTTTGTGGCTTCTCTGCCACGCAGAGGTACCAAAAACCCAGAGATTCTCCCCCCAGACAGGGCCCAGCTAGCCTTGGTGTCCCCTCCAGCACGACACAGAGGGACAAAGCCACCCAGGGAGCCAGGCTGTGGCCACCCCGAGCTCACCTCCGTGCGTCACCACTCTCATGTAGGGTTTGATCATCTGGAGGTCGATCCTGTGCTCCTGCTCGCCGATGATGACGGTTCTCCAGAGCCGGCCGTTGGTGGCACTGCCATCCTCTGTCCCCCCGTCCCCAAACAGGTCTGCGCTGTCCCCGGGCATGTTCTTGGCCGTGGCCACGGGGGTGTCATCTGGGAAAGGGACAAAGAGTTCTGCCTTGAAGAGAACGTGGGGAGGGCTTTTGTAACCCCAGGGACGATGCTCTGATCACGTTTCAGCTCCAACCTTGATCTCTGTGAGTTTATGGGCTTTAAATCTTGCCCAAATATTATAGAAATGACTTTGAAATCTCCCTCTGCTTATCAGTCCTCAGCTGCTGTCAGAAGTCTTTAAAATGAGGCTAAAAACCACCCCAACCCCTGGAAATGTTCACCCAGAACCAGCCTTTTACCTTCCCATTCCAGTTCGTTCCCATTGCCCAGGAATTCGAGGGAATCTGTCTCATCAGGAGTTTCGATATCATCCACATTGATGTCCAGGTCATCTGGTGTGTCCAGGAAATCGTCAGAGAGGATGGAGCCCTCGCTCTGGTCCAGGGAAATGTTGATTTCAGGTGCAACAAGTGTCTTCCGCTTCCGATGGGCCCCGTTAAAGTTCAGAGTGTTGGGAGGAGCTGGAGTTAAAAGGGAAACAACTGACAGGGTGTCCTGCTGCTGGATCCTCAGAGCAAAACATCCCCACGGAGCATTCCGTGATGGAACACGGCTCTGGAGCCCTCAGGACTGGGGGGCACTGGGATGGAAGTGCCCACACCCCTGAGAGCCCAGGAAAGATGAACCACTTCAAATCCCCGCTGGTTTCCTCTCCCACAGAAGGATTTTTTTAGTGGAGAGCCCAAGGCTTTCTCCCTGCCTCAGTTTCCTCGGCTCTGGAGGGGGTTGGTACTTACAGGACGTGGTCTCGTCTTCCGTGGGGCTTCCCAGTGACTCCATCCCCGTCTCTTCTGGGAGAGGCCTGCAGGACACGAGGGAGAAACACAGCAGGGAGCAGGGGATGCTTAGGGAAAAGGCATTCCGAGAGTGGGGAAAACACACTGTGCTCTGCCCCTTCCCTTTTCCCAGCCAGCTCATCCTCAGGGGTTCCCTCAGGGAATTCAGGAGCAGCCCAGGATCTGTGCTTCCCTCCTGGAGTGCTGTGCAATCCCCTCTCACCTCCAAACCATCCCAAGGGATGAAAAATCCAGCCAGGGAGCAAACCCTCACCCCAGACCACCTCGGCAACATTCTCCTTCTCTTTCTTATCCTCATTTTTTCTCCAGGAACTCCTGGGGCTCCTCGTTAGGGCACCAGGGAGCCCCCTCTGTGCTCCATGCTCTGTCCCTGTTCCCTGGCCACAGCCCACAGGGAGGGATGCTTTGATCCCAATCCATCTCAGCTTTATCCAAAGGCCGGCCACAACCACCTTTCCCGGGAAGCAGCTTCTCCTCGGTGCTGGATCTGCTTGGGAACCCCAGATTGTCACCTCAGCGCCCACGGGGTGACCCCCAGCCCCTGCTGAGGTTTGAATTCCAAGCATCCAGCCCCTATTTTGGAGCCAGAGGCCATCCCACCCCTCTTTTCCTGGGATTTGCAGCCTCTCGTGCTCGGCTCCTGGTTCAAATCATGGCCCCTGCAGCTGGAGGCATCGATGCATTTAAAAGTTTTCCTTGCTAAAATCAATCCACAGGGCTTGGCTGGCGCCCTTTGGGAGCTGCTGTGTGGGAATGTGGATCCGGGCTGTGGCCAGGAACCTTTGCTGTGGCTGAGCCTCGCTCTCCGCTGCCCACCCCGGCCATTCCCGGCTGCTTTTCCCTTTCGCTGGAGCTGGGACTCCACTCCCGTCCCCTGGAATTCTCTGCCTTTGACATTTCTTGACCAAACCCTGCCAGCTCCACAAGTTCACACTGAAGGCAGGTCTGTGTTTAGGACATCTCGTGCCCAGGAGCTGTAAATCCTGCTGCTGGGAGCAGGGAGAAACGCGGGGATTTCAGGGATGAGCACGGGGCTGTGCAGAGGTCGCTGTCCAGCTCCTGACGGCCACACAGGAGGGGAGGTGACAACGGGGACAGGATCCAACCCAGCTCTGCCCTGCTCCTCTTCCCGCTGCCATGACGCCGGGGCCAGCGGCCAAATTAAACCCTATAAATATGTAGATTAAGGGATAATCCTCTGCTGCTGGGCCTTGTATATTTATGAGAGACGAGGAGCCCACCAAAGGCACCCCGGGGACCTCGGGGGCTGCCCGGACACTGCGGTCCCCTCCAGCTGCTCCTGTCCCAGCGAGGTGCGGCTGTTTGTCCGTCCGGGAGCCGCTCCTGGCAGGATTCGGTGCCACAGAAAGGGGAGGGGAGCGGGGCAGCCGCTGCTGAGTACGTGCGGCAGCTGCTGCCTCATCCCGGGATCCGCCTCGGGACGGGCCGAGGGGAAGGAAAAGCCTTCCTTACCTTCCCCGAGGCTGCTGCAGTCACCGCCTCCCGCGGAAATCCTCCCGGCCCAGCGCGCTCGGCCCCGGATCACAAATTCGGGGGGCGCGGGGCTTTGCCCGAGGCTCGGGGGGCTCCGCTCTGCTCCGTGCCCGTCCCCGGTGCCCGGTGCTCGCGGGGAGGGAGCGAGAACGGCGGGATGAGGGGCGGGATGCGGGGATGGATGCGGGGATGGATGCAGGGATGGATTCAGGGATGGATTCAGGGATGGATTCAGGAACGGATGCAGGGATGGATGCAGGGATGGATTCAGGAACGGATGCAGCGATGGATGCAAGGCGGGATGCAGTGATGGATGCAAGGCGGGATGCAGTGATGGATGCAGGAACGGATGCAGCGATGGATGCAGGAATGAGCATGCTCCCGCTCCGCGCCGCCCGCGCCTCGGTTACGGCATCCCCGGGCCGGGCCGGGCCGGGCCGGGCCGGGCCGGAGATCAAACCCCGGCAGCAGCGAGGATCCGCCCGCTCCGCTCCCCCGGCTCCTCCTCGCACGGGCAGGAGCCGCTCCCGCCCTTCGGCTTCCCAGGAAATGCTGGGAATGTCGCGCCGTGGCCTCAAGGAGCGGCTGGGTTCTGTTTTCCCGGCCCAGATCTCTGTCTAGGATGTGGCTTTTCTTTTTTTTTTATTTTTTTTTCCCCCTGCTTTTCGGGGCAAGATTGGCTAATGGCAGGCAGGCAAAAATAGCTCTGCAGCAAATCAGCTGCTGGAGAGCCGCTGTCCCACATGCAGCAGCTTCTGCCCTATTATTCCAACGCTTCCAGCGGGGAAGCGGCTGGAAAAGGACAATTTATTTATTTTTATTGCGAGTAGAACCCAGCTGGCCTTCCCTGCTTTGCCCGGGGGCTGTTTGGGCTCTGTCTCGCATGATTCCTGCTCGAATCCCTCTGGAGGAGGCTGCGGAGCTCGTCCTGAGGGCTCCGGGCTCATCCCGGCCCTGCTCACATCCCTTTGCCTTTTCCCAGCTTTCATTCCCGAGGCGTTGTCCCGGGTTTGGTGGTGCTGGGGCCTTTCCAGGAGAGATTTCCCTGGAAGGTTTGGTGGGGTTTGCTGCTGGCATGGGCAGGGTGGGACAGAGCTCAGGTTGGGGCTGAGGTGTCCTGGAGATTTATCCCAGGTTTTTTAGGGAGCTCTGGGACAAAATTTTCCTTTCTACACCTTGATCTCCTGTCTGTATGCTCTGAGCAGCCTGGTCTGGTGGAAGGAGTCCCCACCCTTGGGAGGGAGATGAGTTTTAAGGTCACTTCCAACCCAAACCATTCCATGATTCCCATCCATCCATCCATCCATCCATCCATCATCCATCCATCCATCATCCATCCATCCATCCATCCATCCATCCATCATCCATCATCCATCCATCATCCATCATCCATCCATCATCCATCCATCCATCCCTCCATCCATCATCCATCCATCCATCATCCATCATCCATCCATCCATCATCCATCCATCATCCATCCATCCTCCATCCATCCATCCATCCATCCATCCATCCATCCCTCCATCCATCCCTCCATCCATCCATCATCCATCCATCATCCATCCATCCATCCATCCATCCATCCATCATCCATCCATCCATCATCCATCCATCATCCATCCATCATCCATCATCCATCCATCCATCCATCCTCCATCCATCCTCCATCCATCCATCCATCCATCCATCCATCCCTCCATCCATCCCTCCATCCATCCATCATCCATCCATCATCCATCATCCATCCATCATCCATCCATCCATCATCCATCCATCCATCCATCCATCATCCATCCCCACACTTCTCTCTCCTTTCACTCCATTAAAAACCAGGGGGGAGCCCGATTCTGGCAGAGATCCAGCAGCTCTGCTCCCAGAGGGAAAGAAAATCCACCCTGGGAAGGCCGGGGCCCCCCGGGAGGCAGCGGAAGGACAAACGGCGTCCTGTGGGATGCAGCACAGAGGGGCTCACACAGGGATGCAGCTGGAGCTGGGATGAACAGAGCCAGGCTCATCCCGGGGGAACAGGAGCCCCTTTCTCTGGGGCTGCAGCTGCAGCAGGGGCTGGGGCTGGCCCCGGGTGCCCAGCAGGGCTCAGAGCCAAATCCCCCCCCAAAGGGAGCCCTGGAGATCCCCCAGGACCATCCCAGGGCCCAGGCAGGGTCACCTGGAGCAGGAATGTGTCCAGGGGGGCTGGGAATGGCTCCAGAGAGGGAGAATCCGCACCCGCCCTGGGGCTAGGAGCTCTGGGGCCAGGAATGGGGGTGGGAATGGGGGTTCAGAGCACCTGGGGGTGGGTTTTGGCACCTCTGGGCAGCTGCTGGAGTGGCTCTGAAGGTGGAATGTGCCACTTTGGCACCTCCTGTCACCCCCACACCTCCTTTCCCAAGGATGGCACCCATCGGGATTCACTGCATCCCAATGGCAAATTCCTGGCTTGGGAAGACTTTGCCTGATTCAGAGCCTGGGAAGGAGTCCATGAATCCATAAATCCAGAAATCCACTCCCATATGCATCCATCCACCCTCCATCCCTCTGTGGATCCCTCTATCCACCCCAACCTCCCTGTGCTCCACACCCAGCTCCTTCCCCTGCCCACACAGGGCTGCCAAAAGCATCCCAAAATCAGAGCAGCTTCAGAAATTCTCAGCTCCTGTTGGAGTTCAGGCTCCTGGTGCCTCTGAAGCCGTGGGCAGGACCCTCCCACTCCACGCCCTGATGGTTTCTCACAGGAAAAAAAATAAAATTCTCCTGTTTTTGTTTCTGTTTTTCAGAGAACACACCTGGGGAAGTCCTCGTCTTGCCATTCCTCCTTCACATCCACGTTCTCCATCCGCAGCGTGGCCTCCGTGGTTCCCATGGCTCCCAGGGAGGGCTGGAGCCAGCAGATCCCAGCAGGAAGGGCTCAGGCTGGAAAGGGGAGGCAGAGAGGTTGGCACGGAGCATCCCGAGCTGGGAGCAGCCACTGCTCCGTGGAAGAGCAGTGTGAGGGCTGCTTGTGTGGATAAAACAGCGAAACTCAGGGTTTTGGGGCTACCTGACACATTTTGGAGCAGGAGGAGGAGGTGAAGTTGGTCCTGGGATTGTTCAGATCCCAGCTCATCTCCCTGGGAGCAGCACTGATACCCACACACTTCCCCTTCTTGCTTCTCCTTCAATCCCAATCCCATAAATCCCTCTCTGCCCAGGGCAGGGAGATGTGGCTGAGAGGGGCGAGCTCCTCCCTGGGACATTCCCAGATCCCACATTTCTGGATTGGATGGAAGTTTCCAGCCCTGGCTGTCCTGGCAGAGAGATCCCTGAGCCTGCTGCGTGTCCCTGCTCCGTCGGGACATGGGGAGGCCTCACAGGGATGTCCTTCCCACCCCTGGGGATTCACATTCCTGCCTTGCTCCAAACCAGACTCCAAAACCCCGGGGCAGCTCAGCTCGGGGTGTGTTCCCAGCCTGTCCTCTCTCCTGCACTTTGGGAACAAGTTCAGATCCAGCAATCCTGGATTTCACCCACACTGAGCCCCAGGGTTCCTTAGAACCATATCTATAAATATATTTTTTATTTTTTTTTGCTTCACTGGAAGGTTCCTGCTGCCAGACCGAGAAATCCAAACCTTTGCACCCAATTCCTTGGGCCTGCAGCTCCCAACAAAGCCCAGCTCAGCATTCAGAACCAATCCTGGCTGGTCAGGGGGAGCAGAAACCTCATTCCCAGCGGGATCCTGCCCCGAGGGAACAAGGCCATGCCCGACGTGCTCCGGAACCTGCTCAGGTGGGATCAGCTCCTGAGCTGGGCCCAGCCTCAGCCACTGCAGAGCTCCCCCCGAGCTCTGCCCTCACACTGGGGACTGGCTGGGGAGGAACACTCAGGAATTGGGGTTTTTTTCAGGATGAGGGGTCTGGGGTGGTTCCTGGGGCTGCTCTGTCCATCCCCAGTGCAGGAGATCAGCCCTGAGCACTGCCCGTGGCTGTGCAGCTCTTCCCAGGGCTTTTCCTGCTGCCTTTGGAGGCCGGGAACGCTCTGCAGGAGATAAATCCGGGTGGATTTCCTGCAAAGGGATGAACCTCTGTAGAGGCCCAAATCAATCCAGCCTCCCTCTGTATTCCAGGCTCTGGGATCAGCAGAGCTGCCAGCACTGCAGGGATCCCTCCCTGCTGCCATTCATCCCGGGACTGGCATTCCCGGGATTGGCATTCCGGGATTGGCATTCCGGGATTGGCATTCCGGGATTGGCATTCCTGGGATTGGCATTCCGGGATTGGCATTCCGGGATTGGCATTCCCGGGATTGGAATTCCGGGATTGGCATTCCGGGATTGGCATTCCGGGATTGGCATTCCGGGATTGGCATTCCCGGGATTGGCATTCCGGGATTGGCATTCCGGGATTGGCATTCCGGGATTGGCATTCCGGGATTGGCATTCCCGGATAGTCCCAGCCCCACCTGCCTCCATTCCTGCCTTCCCTACTCCAGACACCTCAAGGCTCTGGAAAATCCCACCTTCCTCCCCCTCCCCTCCTCTGGCAGCTGCTCCCTGCCGGCCCCGGAGGCATCATGGAGGGAGAGGAGGAGGAGAAGGAGAAAAGGAGAAGGAGGAGGAGGAGGAGGCAGCCGAGCAAACCCCGCCAGGCACACTCACCGCTGCCGGTGCTCAGCGGGGAACAAAGGCGCTGCTGCCCCTCTCGCAGCCCGGCATTCCTCCTGCCGATGGCTCCGGCTCAGCAGGTGCAGCCCCTGGCTCGGGATGCGGCTGGAGGAGCGTGCGGATTCATCCAGGCCGGATTTCCCGCAGCAGCCGCTGCTTTGCGCTTTCCTTGGCAAAGGATGGATGGATGGAGGGCGTTTATTTGTGTTCCTCCATGGCCGCCGCCGCTTCCCCTCCCTTCCGAGGTATTTTATTATGATTTTCCGCCGCAGCTGGCGAAGCCTGCGCTCCTCTAAATCAGCTAATTCCCTGCTTTTGTGTGAGAGGGCGGCGAGGGGGGTCTGGAGGAGGGAGGAGAGAGGCTCTGGGAGCATCCCTCGCTGTGCCAGCCCCGCTGCCATTGGCTGCCAGCCTCCAAATCTCTGCCAGGGCCGGGCACGGCCCCGGCTCGCAGCGCTCAGTGGGAGCCGGGGGTGCCCGTCAGCTGCTCCCGCAGGGAGGGATTTGGGAGCATCATTCCCTGAGAAGGTAAAAGGGATGTGGGATTTGATGGCTCTGCGGGGCTGGTCTGGGGCTGAGCCTCGGGCACCGCTTGGGTTCTGGATGTTCAGATCCGGCAGCTGCTCCTGCTCAGGGAGGAAATTCCTGATCCCGGGATGCCCAAAACTGCAAAACAACCCGAGCCCCTGTGCAAATGCAAAGGTGAAGGAAGGGGCCGAGATTTCCCCTCAGAGCTGGGGGGAGCTGGGCAGCTCCTTTCCCTTTTTCCAGTCCCTCCCCTCCCCACAGCCTCCAGATCCCTGGAATAACACTTTTCTGTGTTACCCGAGAGCCAAACGCCGCCGTGAAGGGCAGCAAAGGACGGGATGACTCTTTGGAAAGGCACTGCCCGTCTTGGGAGCATCCTCCTCCTTTTTCCCGGGATTTGCTGCTCATTTTTGGGCAGCGCTGATCGGGGCGCTCTGCAGCCACCCAGAGCCCCGAAATTCCTTTGCTGCGTGGAGAAATCCGGGATGGCAGCGGCTCTTGGAGCGGCTCCGGAGCCGGGGGAGGGCGGTGGATCCATCCCGGCCGTGGATCCATCCCTGTGGATCCCTCCCTGTGGATCCATCCCGGCCGTGGATCCCTCCCGGCTGTGGATCCGTCCCTGTGGATCCCTCCCTGTGGATCCCTCCCTGTGGATCCCTCCCGGCTGTGGATCCATCCCTGTGGATCCATCCCTGTGGATCCCTCCCTGTGGATCCCTCCCCGGATCCCTCCCCTGGATCCCTCCCCCGGATCCCTCTCCCGGATCCCTTCCCGGATCCCTCCCTGTGGATCCCTCCCCCGGATCCCTCCCTGTGGATCCCTCCCCCGGATCCCTTCCCGGATCCCTCCCCCGGATC